CCCCCTCCCCGGGGGTTGTGCCGCCGGGTGGGGGGGGGGGGGGGCCCCTCCTTTCAATATCCACCAGCCTGGCAAGGCTGGAAGCCCCTGCCCCACTCGTGAACTTCCCCAGGGGGGCCAGATGGCTCCTGCAGCTCCAGGTCCTGCCTTGGAAGCTGTCTGGCAGCACAGGGAGGGTGCAAGGACAGGGCAAGCACAGGGTGCTGCCTGCTCCCAGTGTGGGGTGCATTTCTTAAGAACGGAGCATATTTATCTCCCTGAGCTTAATGGTCTTTGACAGGAGCATGAATCTCTCTAGCAGCAGCTCCAAAGGGTCTGCTCCACCCAGCAGATACTTCCAAATCTACACCATACTTTCTGGTGGCACAAACATTGTATTGCTGTCCAGAAGTTAGTTACTTACCCTGATCCAAAGGTATGGCAGGAACGTCTTTTGCTGCTGGTGAAATACATACAACTTGGTTGCCTGAGACCTGCCCCTCCACCTCTGTCAGGTTTCCAAAGAGGCAGGTGACCCCAGCTCCCAGGTCTGGAGCATCACTGATCAGCAGGCTGAGCTACAGCAGGGGAGAGGGGAGGCAGAGGGGGAACAAAACCTGTTAGCAGGGAGATCTGCCCGAGTTGCTTTTGGATTTTCATTACCTGCTGCTTTCCAATTCAGTACTGACCCCCTTAAATTACTTGCCCACCCACAGGAGGAGGCTGGCTGCCCTTTTGTGGGAAGCAGAGGAGGGAAAAGCTGTTGCTTTGGGTTGCAAGTCCTCAAGGACCTCAGCATGAATGGGGATCAATCTCTTGGCAAACCAGGAGCTGACGGGGTAGTGCCCTCCCAACAGCCCCATGACAATTCAATGCCAAGTGCTGGGGGGCAGGGGGGCAGGCAGACCCCTGGGGGCACAGGAAGGGGCTGCAGCAGGACCAGCTGCCACGGTGTCCTGGGGGGCCTGGGGGGCAACAGCTGGGATGCTTCAGAGAGCCAGGCCTGAGCACAGCTCACACATGAGCTTTTTGGGAAACAAAGCCTTTCCTTTCAACAGCTAATGAAACCGGACCAAGAGAAATATGAGCTGAGGCCCAAGGGGAAGGGGAATTTGTTTCTGCCATCCCCACCCCCTGCTTCCCCGGCTCAGGTGGCCCCTTCCCTCCCCAGTCCCTCTGCGAGCCTGACTTCATGGGAAAACACTTGTGCCAAGGGGCAGAGAGAAAGGCTGGAGAATGGATTGGTCACTGTGATCCTGAAACACGCTGGAAATGCCTCTCACCCCTCACAGGTGCCCCCCTGCCTGCAGCACCTACCGGGAGGCTGTGCTGGGACACGGAGATGCTGCTGGGCCGCACGGTGAGGCTCATGCACCGGCTGATGCTGCCGGCAAAGCGGTTCA